TCAACAATAAAGTATGTACATATATGTGTAAAAATATATATGTGTATAAGAAATGCTTATGAAGACCTAGTAAGTCAGATAATTGAATCTTTACAATTTAGGAGACTGGATGACTTACATTGTAACATAGAACTAAGCCTGTTTACTATTTAAAAATAGTACTTGTTTTTACCAAAGAAGCTAATAGGCATCACAAAAGAATGGTGGACAATTTGAAAATGATTTTGTACATTCCATAAAATACCTTGTTGGGAGCATCTGAATTTTGCAGGAAAAAAGAAAATATGTTTGAAATGTTTGCTTTTTTGTAGAAACAAACAAATGGGGCTCAGAAGATCTTCTGTGAAAGCAGGAAAAACAACAAGAAAATATTTGTAAACTCTTATGACAGATCTATTGAAGTCCATTTGTCAAATTTTTAAGGAGATTATTCCACAAACAGACATATTTTCAAAGGTTCTCTGAATCACAATACTGCTTTCTATGTCAATAGCCTCTTGATTTCCAAAACAGATTCAGATGAGGGCACAGAACCCTCTGGAGCTAGAGTTACAGGCAGTACTGAGGCACTCGATGGCGGTGTGGGAACTCTACCTGGGACCTCCACAAGATCTGCAGGCACTCATAGGCTCTGAACCATATCTCCGGACCCCACTACCTCACCATGGGAATTAGTTATATTTAATATCACATTGTGGGTAATATCCCACTGTAATCTCCTTTTCCCACACAAACACCCACTCTTTATGATTATATTTTATTGTGACATGATCAAGACCCTGAATTTAGATAGATTTTTGAAGTAAAGTATCATTTTGGCAATTATGTGATCATGTGGCTTCATTAGCACAGCTAGACAAATTCTCTAAGTACGAATTCTCAGAGGGTTTTATTTTTATATGTACAATGATGATTGTAAGGATGTTTGTCGTGTAAAGATTATGCAGGTATTTGATGTTCCAGATTCTGTATCAGGCAAAATGATCGCGGTTAGCTGCATACTGCATGCAGCCCACAGACGCGTGAAGCTCTTCTCACTTCTGGTCACTTCACACTTTTGCCAGTAACAGTTAAAGAAAATGTCTCACCTCAAGTCTGTCATATTTCACAGTGGCATTATGGATTCCTGGTAGCCACAGGCAGCTTCAGAACTTAGTTAAACCTCACTGTCCACAAAGCATAGTTTGAATCTTCTGCTAAGAGCATCAGATTTCTCCTTATTGATCTAATACATCCACACCATTGTCATTGGTTTCCGGGATACTAGGTGGTTACAAACACCTAAATAGTAGCAATGCTTTTTCACACATTCCTCATCTAAAACTAGCTGTGTCTCGGCAAGGGAAGAGGATTGTAGACAGGGACAAGCATTACTCATGAGCAATCAGGTGAGTCCTCTATGTACTAAGGTCTGAGGGCTTTATATATGCTGAAAGTTTTATGTACTGAAAGCCGAGGATATTCTTATAAATTCTCTATATTTGTTGAAAAATTAATGTCTCAAGATGTAATCCTTCTGTAATTGCTGAAATCTTCAGTTTAGGTAAAGCACAAAGGGCCAGGAACATAGTTCAGTGATAGAATGCTTGCCTCAACTTTAGGAAACCCTGTGTTCAATTCCCAGTGCTCCCAGATAAAGCACGAGGCAGAATCCTGTGCCTGGCATTGGGTGAAATGACTGTCATCAAACAGTGACAGCTAAGGAGGATTCATGGGGTCCTAAGTGTGTTGTGAGACCCTCACAAGGCTTCTCCTTACTTTGTAATCATCAGTGTTCTTGGGGAATGAGTGTGAGGTCCATACAATGTGTGCACCTCCTGTCTCCTGGAACTCACAGTCACCAGACTGCTGCTGTCTCATAATTGTGAGGGCCTTGTGTCAATCCATCCCAACCACAGCAAGTGACTTCAGGAAAACTTTGCTTTTCTATGACAATGTATGACTTGGCATGTGTAACCCCATTCTAAGGCTCTAGGCCTGGAAATTCTTGGAGAGTCAGCACATCCCACAGACCCGTGTCCTCCACTCTCTGTAGATCTGACAGACAAAGTCCTTCCACTGGTGAATGATGTCGCATCCACATGGACCTCCAGGACAGGGCTGAGCAGCGCATGCGGCTCCCTCTTCACTGCTCTTCCTGTTGTGTCAGTGTCGTGTGTTTCCCACAGTCTTGTCCTCACTTCCATATCTCACAGTTTCCTTCACAGCATGGATGCTTCCAGAGGATTCTAGAGCTTCAATTCATGTCAACGGTAACTATGAAGTTCACATGTTAATTATTTTTCTACCACAGTATAATATACTGTATATCTTAATTGCTGATAACTTGTGGAAAATGGTCACTTAAATATAAGTTGAAGAAGAATGTTATATATCACTTACCCTGAGCTTCCCCTTAAATAAGAACTCAAAACAAATGGTTACTGGAATCAGAACAAGAAGTTTTGTTAGAATAAGAATAAGATAGTGTTTTCTATTTCCATCCATTTGCATGCAAAATTCGAGAAGTCATTGTTTTTTACCGCTGAGTAGTACTCTAATGTGTATATATTCCACACTTTCTTCATCCATTCTTCCATTGAAGGACATCGAGGTTGTTTCCAGGTTCTGGCTATTACAAATAATGCTGCTATGAACATAGTTGAACAAATGCCCTTGTCATATGATCGGACATCTCTTGGGTATATTCCCAAGAGTGGCATTGCTGGGTCCAGAGGTAGGTTGATCCCAAATTTCCTGAGAAACCGCCACACTGCTTTCCAAAGTGGTTGCACAAGTTTGCATTCCTACCAGCAATGGATGAGTATACCCCTTCCTCCACAACCTCTCCAGCAAAGGCTATCATTGGTGTTTTTTATTTTAGCCATTCTGACAGGTGTAAGATGATATCTCAAAGTTGTTGTGATTTGCATTTCCCTGATCTCTAAGGATGTTGAGCATGACCTTAAGTGTCTTTTGGCCATTTGAACTTCTTCTGTTGAGAATTCTCTGTTCAGATCAGTGCCCCATTTTTTAATTGGGTTAATTAGCATTTTAAAGTCTAGTTTCTTGAGTTCTTTATATATTTTGGAGATCAGACCTTTGTCTGCTGCAGGGTTGGTGAAGATCTTCTCCCAGTCAGTGGGTTAGTGAGGTAACCCAGACCCAAAAAGATGAACATGGAATGTACTCACTCATAATTGGGTTCTAGCCATAAATAAAGGTCAGTGAGTCTATAATTTGTTATCCTAAAGAAGTTAAATAAGAGGGTGAACCCAAAGAAAAACATATAGCTATCCTCCTGGTTATGGGAAGTAGACAAGATTGCCGGGCAAAAGACTGGGATCTTGGGGGTGGGGTGGGAGGAGGGTAAGGGGAGATGGGGAGAGAAAAGTGAGAAGGGGAGGATGGGGGGAACTTGGGGAAACCGGATGATTGGGATAAAGGAAGGTTGGATAGGGGAGCAGGGAAGCACATATCTTAATTAAGGGAGCCATCTTAGGGTTGGCAAGAGACTTGGACCTAGAGGGGCTCCCAGGTGCCCAGGGCGATGTCCCCAGTTAGCTCCTGGGGCAGCTGAGGATAGGGAACCTGAAATGACCCTATCCTATAGCCATACTGATGAATATCTTGCATATCACCATAGAACCTTCATCTGGCGATGGATGGAGATAGAGACAGAGACCCACACTGGAGCACCGGACTGAGCTCCCAATGTCCCAATGAGGAGCAGAAGGAGGGAGAACATGAGCAAAGAAGTCAGGACCACAAGGGGTGCACCCACCCACAGAGACAGTGGGGCTGATGTATTGGAAGCTCAACAAGGCCAGCTGGACTGTGACTGAGAAAGCATGGGATAAAACTGGACTCTCTGAATATGGCGGACAATGAGGGCTGCTGAGAAGCCAAGGACAATGGCACTGGGTTTTGATCCTACTTCATGTTCTGGCTTTGTGGGAGCCTAGCAGTTTGGATGTTCACCTTCCTAAACCAGGATGGAAGGGGGAGGACTTTGGACTTTCCACAGGGCAGGGAACCCTGACTGCTCTTCAGACTAGAGAGGGAAGGGGAGAGGAGTGGGGGAGGGGGAGAGCAGTGGGAGGAGGGGGAGGGAAATGGGAGGCTGGGAGGAGGCGGAAATTTTTTCTTTTCAAAAAAACTAAAAATAAATTTAAAAATAATAATAATAAGAAGAAGAAGAAGAAGAAGAAGAAGAAGAAGAGAAAGAAAAAAGAAAGAAAGAAAGAAAGAAAGAAAGAAAGAAAGAAAGAAAGTTAAAACAACATGCTAGACCTTCTTAACACAGTAGCATGTGATGGGAACAGACACAGAGACCCACAGTCAAAGGTTGGGGGAATACAGGAACCCCATAGGAAATGAGGAGAAAGGATTGTGGGGGCAGAAGGGTCAAGGAGACCAGGAGTCAACTAACAGGGGTATCAGGGGTTCAGAGACTGAATCAGGGAGCTTGCATGGGTCTGCACTAGGCCCTCTGGACACATGCTATGGTGGTTCAGCTTGGGATTACTGGGGGACTCCTAACAGTGGGAATTAAAGGCATCTCTAACTCTTTTGTTCCCTGTGGGACACTTTCCTCCTGCTGGGCTGCCTCATCAAGGTTTGATGTGGGAAATTATGACTGCTCTTAATACATGTTGTTATCCTGCCTTCATTGATGTCACTGAGAATGTTCTCTTTTCTGAAGGAAAATGAAGCTAGGGACAGAGGAGGCTGGGGCAGGGAGAGACTGGGAAGAGGGGAGGAAGGGAACTCTTCAGTCAGGATCTATTGTATGAGAAAAGAATGAAGAAAAAGAGAAAAAAGATAACAGTGTGTAAGCTGTGTGAGAAGGACAGACACCCAGGTCAAAACTACCTAGAAACCCTCAGAGGCAAGCGTGAATGGGTGTGGACACACACATCAGAGCATTCATTCATAGGGCACTTCCCTTTGATCATTTCACTTACAGAAGTAGGAGTTTGTCGCTGTTCACCAGTTCAGTGTCACATCTCCCATTCGCAATGGACACACCAAAGGTCTGCTACAAGGTAGAAGACCCCACTCCAGGGCCTCTGTGTGCATCGCCTCCATCTCGTCCCTCAGGTCAGTAGCTTTATTTCTCCTTCTGGCATTTGAATATCTTCCAGAGATGTGGTTTTCTCTTACAGTCTTGTTGTTGCTTTGAAGGTGAGCAGCTGTCTGTCCATGCTAAAGAGAGTAGATGATCACAGCTTTAGAGATAAGAAGCTCATGTACACCACTTCAGTCAGTTAATGTAAGACATGGCAGCCCTTCTTTTCAGCTTCAGTCACAAGACCCTGAAGAAGGGATGCTTTGCATCTACAAGGAAAGGGATGCTTCTAGCAGAGAGACTCTGTGAAGCATCTTGCCTGGTCCAAACTTCTCTGTAGAACACAAACACTAAGACTCAGCTCCATGGCATACTAGAAATGAGAACTGTTGGAATCAGCACCCTGTCTGCCAGAAGATTTAAATCTGGGGGAAAGAATTGAGAACTAATGTGGAAGACTGAAGTGAGACAACTTTGAAGGATATGATGATTTAGGGGAATGAGTGATAAGAGACAGACACTGAGGCAGAAATTAAATCTAAAATAGCCATGGTATAGTACGAGATTCCGTGATGCAACTGAGCCTCCTTATAGAGTACTGCAATGCTTTAAATTTAACCTTTCTGTATTGTGCCAAGAATGTGAATCACAAGTTTTTAAGGATGCTTTTCAAGAACTATTAAATTAGCAGATTTTTAATGAGAAAAAAGTCTTTGACTCATCAAATGAGCTTCATTATGATCTGTACAGAGGGTCTGGGGAAAGTGGGGGATTTAAAAAAACTAGAGGGAAGATTTGACAGAGCCAGTTACTTGTGGTAGGCAAAGAAAGTCTTTGTTTTCCCTGTCTATACCTGTAAAAGTGGAAGGGACTTAAAGAGCTTAAGGGTTGGGGTTTGATTTCCCACTGAGTCCCGTCACCCCTGAATGCATGTGCATGGGTGAAGACCATGTCCTGGAGCATAAGGTGCTTCTTAGACTCTGTATCCTGATAAAAAACTGAAGCCCCACTCCTAGCCGCCTTCAGTTGTCAATATGTTCCCAGGCTAGGATGGAACCTCACACCCAACTCCCCCACAATCTTTTGTCAGACTTGAGCTTTTGAAGGTCTTGTGCAGGCCATTAAGTTCATCTCTGGAACCACCCTGTTATGTCCAGAAGACAGTGTTTCCTTGTAGTTATCCAGCACTTCTGGATCTATGGTCATTCTGCCCCCTTTCCATCCCCATCCAAAGCTCAGTGATAATGCCCAAGCCTTGGTTGGGAATGGGATGGGTTAGGATGCAGATGTCCCATTTAGAGTGGAGGACTTCGTAATCTCTTATTCTCTACATGACATGCTGCCCACTTGTGGCTGGTGCACACCTAGAATCCTGCTGTTCTGCTTCTTCCTTGAGTGGCTGGCTGCACTGGTCCATGGGGGTTGAAAAAGCAGAAGTGGAGAACAGGGTTTGGATGGCTGTCAATAAGACAGAGACAGACCTCCAGACTTTGACGAATCAGCTCAGCTTTATTCCAGAATATAGGAAATATATGGGATTGGGGAGTCTGGGGACAAACCCTAATTTGTATTAAGCAGCACGCTCCTATCATAAGGCTTCATATGTGGCAGCAGGGTCCTATAGCAATGCTCCTGTACAAGTCTCAGTTACCTTAAGAGCAACAGGAGAAAGGCTTCTAGTGGGAAACTGTGCCAGGGGTCATACTGAAGATAAATCAGGATTCCAGGCTTGGAGACAGCTTTCTTAGGAAAGTCCTCCCAGCCAAGAAACATCCTCCTGATTGCAGAGATAGAAAGCAGGAAATCTCACTGGAGAAAGAGGTAGTCCTCCATGTTTCCAAGCTTAGGGAAAGCTGACAGGCTATGGTAGATTGCAGCATCTGATCAGCAGGGCCACCCAACAGATTCCCATCACTTGGAAAGTGGAGGCAGCAGAATGAGGAGCTCAAGGTTATCTTCAGCCACATGGAGAGTTAGAGGTCAGCCTGGACCAATGGACAACTATCTCTCAGAAACAGAACAGAAAACAGCAAAAGCAATTATCAATGTACGATATTTAAGGAAAGTGCACTGTGAAGGCAACATGCACACAGTGTTGTATGGTTTTAGTTTGCATGTGTGTGCATGTGCTTGTGTGAGTAGTGTGGTATTAGCCACACTTCCAAATAATCTGTCCATTAGGGGGCTTTAGAACTCAGCCAATAGGAGGAACTACCTCAATTGAAATACTGAAAATATGGTGTGGACTCATGAGATGCCCCTCCTTGGAAGCCATAACTTTAATCAAAGTTGGAGAAGAACATTGTAGACCTCAGTGAAGTAGATCCCATATTCAGGAATATAATCACATGCAATAGCATCAAAAGTCACAATTACCACAAAAGTGATCATCTAACATGTCTCTTGGATAAAAGAAGGTGCTCCTTAGAGATGCATTGACTCCTTTCCCACAACAGAACTTGCTTTTTGACTTACAGCGCTCAGTGGTTTTCAACAGATCTTCACATCTACCAAGTCTGAATCACTCAATGAGTCTTTATGCAGAGTACATGCATGAGCATTCATTTTCCTTCCTAAGTTATCAAAGCAAACAGCTGAACATAATGAAGAATTCAGCTCATGGAATTTTGCTTTACATTGGCAGAGAAACATTCACATCCACAGCCCACCCTCTACTTGAATCCAGTTGTCCATGTTAATCCAAACCACCTTTAACTTTCATCCCAGATGTACTCAACTGACTTAAGCACTAACCAGGTGTTTAACTTCACAGACGCCTGCCGGTGCCCACGTTCCCACAGGTTGGCTCTGAAACTCAGTTGTGCTGGGCTCATCCTTCTTCTCTTGACCATGATTGGACTGAGTGTTTTAGGTAAGTGAGGCAAGAGCTTTTGCTTCAGAATTGTTCCTCTAGATATCAGGTCTTTTTACGTGGTTTGTCTCCTTGAGCTGGGGAAAGGTCGACCATATGAGTGGTTACAGGACTGTGTCTCATGCGCAGTGCAGAAGCTTCCCATTTCTGTGCTTCTGAGTTTCTCTGAGAACCGTGAGGGGCTATTACACATGAAGGGCTCTCTAACAGACCCATGAATGGAAACATGGCACTTTCAGATTTTGCCCTTTTCCCTTTCTTCTCACTAAACTGTTAGGCTACACTGTAAACTAGACCCCAAGTCCAGTCCAGTCCTTTATTTGGCCATGGAATCCTCTTGAGTCTGAGCACCAAGATCCAAATATCACAACATCCAAGGTCCAGCAATCAAAGTTAATTATTTGGCTACAATGGTTAACCTATCCAATCAGGACTTACAACTCATTCTAACACAGACCTCCCCTTTTCTCCTTAACAACCCAGTCCTGCAAAAACACCTGCTGCTGTCTATGCCAGATCAAGAGGCAGCCCCTCCTCACACCCTACAGGTTAATAAATCTCTTTTGTGTTGAAAATGTGGTGTCTGTGTTTGTTCTCAACTGACTCTAAGCACCCAACAGCACATGTCCACCCAGAACATAAAAAACAAAAACAAAACAAGTCTTGATTGTGACATAAACAACAAGGTAGTAAACAAACTAAAAGGCTCAAGTGTTTAATTTATTAAGTGGCTTCTGAACTCCAGTAACAGTGAGCTGCCTTCCTTGGAAACAGTGTGATAATACTCGTTCTGAAGATGGGAATTCAGACATGAGTGTGGGAAGCTAAGAGATTCTGTAAGGCCATTAGATGATATGTGGCCTCAACAGTGGTCTGAAATCACATGTTCTGTGTTTTTCTTGTGTGTTTACACATTCTATCTCCAAACTGGTTCCTCAGTGACTGATGTTTTACCCTCAGTCCTTATGGTCAGCTTTGCTGAAATAACTCGTTTTTCTGAAGTGGGAAGAAAAATACCCATTCCACCATTCAGTTTAGTATTTAATCCTCTCTGTTTGTTTTCTTATTTACTAGTGCGAGTCTTAATACAAAAGCCATCAATAGAAAAATGCAGAGAGTATATTCCAAGGATCGCGGCTAGCTCAACAGGTAATCCTTGACCAAGGTTTATATCCCTAAGAAACATAGGTCTACATTAATCATAAACTAGTTGTCCTATTAGCTCAGGCTTTTTATTAATTAATCCTTAAGTCATAACCCATAATTCTTGTCTGTGTCAGCCACGTGGCTTGATACCTTTCATCAGTGAGGCATTCTCATTTGTGTCCTCTATTTATGGGTGATGGCCGCAGACTGAATCTTTCCTCTTCCCAGAATTCTCCTGTTCTCATTGCCCCACCTCTTCTTCCTGCCTGGTTGCCCCACCTCTACTTCCTGCCTGGCTACTGGCCAATCATTACTTTATTAAACAAGTACAGGAACAAATTTTTACAGTGTAAAACCATTGTTCCACAGCACATAATTTTTACAACTTGATTTTCCCAAGAATAACAGTTGACATTTGTTCTTTATTAGGGCTTACATCAGCGGAGGCTTCAAGCTCTCACCCACGAAGACAGCACCATGGTCTTATGTTAGAAAAAATTGCAGTATAGAAACATATCGAGGTCTCATGACTGGTAGTTGATACTGCTGGGAACTTCTTTGAAACAATGTAACCTTGACGCCTGAGATATTAATCACTTTGTCATGATGCTTCCAATGCTATCACATCACACTAGACAAATAACTTTAAAAATATCCTAATAGAATATTTGTTTTAACAAATGTGTTAAAGTTAGCTCTGTCTAGTTGATTGATAGAAAGGAAAATGAATTCCTTTTTGTTTGTATATCTTTTTGTCATAACAATAATCTCATCCCAGCACATGTTACTAAAAGTGTGTGTTAGCAAAGCAACTACTGTGTGTAACTGGCTGGATGCAGCAGGGACAGGGTGGAAATTTACCATGTCTGTTCCTCACTTCAGAGAGTCCAAATCAGCTAAGGTGCCCCAACGGCTGGATGACATACCAAAATAAATGCATACAGTTTTCTCAAGAGCCCAATGTTTGGAAGGGAGGTCTATCTGACTGCACTAGAAAAGGAGCCACTTTGCTGCTTATTCAGGACCAAGAAGAACTGGTGAGTTGTGCTGTAAAACAGAGTCGTGAACACATTTCTGAGTCTGTATCAATGTCTCTAGACTTCACATATCTTCCATGCAAAGGCAGTGGAGACTTTACATTATCTGAGAGACTAATGGGACATGTGAGCCATTAACTACATATGTAAGGTGAATGTCCTAGGATCGTAAATGCTGGGCACAGATTCCTCAAGGGAGGAAGAATGAACTGTGCTGAGGACTCAGGACGGACACAGGTGTCACTTGACCTAGGTGTCAGGAGGCTGTAAAATATGAGTCACAGCACACAGGCTCAGGTTAAGTCCTCTCCTCTGTTTTGATTGTAGAGATTCATAAAGAATTCAATGCAGGAAAGAGGCAATTCATTTTGGATTGGACTAAATTACTCATTCCCAGACATGAACTGGAGATGGATAAACGGCTCCACTTTAAGTTCTGATGTGTGAGTATTGGAAGAACTCACTTGAATATTCATTTCAGGTCATCTCAGGGCTCTAATAACGATACTAATGATTAAAGACATTCAGAAGGGTTTGAAAATATGATTCCAAAAGTGGCTGAAAATATTCATGTATAAAAAGTTTCTAGCCTTTTATAAGGTCAAGTGTGCATGTGTATATGTCTACATGTATGTATGTATATACAATGGACTCCTAAGGCTGGGGACTAAACTAACTTCTTAGGAAAGAAAATGCATTTTTTCATATGTTAAATGTTTTCATAAACAATTATTTTCTTTTTTATTGATTTTTATTGAGCTCTACATGTTCTCTGCTCCCCTCCCTGCCTCTCCCCTAAACTTCAACCCTCCCCCAAGGTCTGCATGCTCCCAATTTACTCAGGAGATCTTGTCTTTTTATACTAGCTATGTAGATTAGATCTATTTAAGTCTCTATTACTGTCCTCATTTCATTGTTGTCTAGGTTGTCTGGGATTGTGATTTGTGGGCTGGTTTTCTTTGCTTTATGTTTGAAAACCACTTATGAGTGAGTACATGTGATAATTGTCTTTCTGGGTGTAGGTTTCCTAACTCAAAATGATGTTTTCTACCTCCATCCATTTGCCTGCAAAATTCAAGATGCCATTATTTTTTTCTACTGTGTAGTTAAAATAAAAAATGGAGTACAGACCTAACAGAGAACTCTCAACAGAGGAATCTAAAATGGCTGAAAGGCACTTAAGGAAATGCTCAACATCCTTAGTCATCAGAGAAATGCAAATCAAAACAACTCTGAGATTCCATCTTACACCTGTAAGATTGGCCAAGATCAAATACACTGATGACAACTTATGCTGGAGAGGTTGTGGGGAAAAGGGAACATTTCTGCATTGCTGGTGAGAATGCAAGCTAGTACAGCCCCTTTGGATATCAGTACATTGATTTCTCAGAAAATTAGGAAACAACTTTCCTCAAGACCCAGTAATACCACTTTGGGGTATATATCTAAAGGATGTTCAATTGTGCCACAAGGACATATGTTCAAAGCATCATTGTTTGTCATAGCCAGCACCTGGAAACAACCTAAATGCCACTCAACTGAAGATTGGATAAGGAAAATGTGGTATATTTACACAATGGAGAATGCCTTTTAAAATGCCTACTTAGAGCCTGTAGGCAGAAGGAATTTTTCTTTTGTCACTCTAATATTTCTTATATTTTTCAAAGAATTTCTTGAGTGATCCTTTCCATGCTGTGGTGAAATGAGCCATAGTGTGCAGTGAGGCCAGTAGCTCAGGTCACAGCCAGCAGAGGAAGAGTGAGTGGGGAAGGGAAGGCAGTGTCAGCAGGGAGCTTTGTCAGCTAGAGAAATAACTTCATTGTCACAGGCTGCAGTGTAGCTTGGCTGAGTTGTGAAAGCTACAATTATTTGAGGAGCTGTGATGAAAACAGACTTTAGTCAAGATAAACAAGAAAGGAAAATCATTTTGGTTCACAGTTCAGGGGCCTCAAGTCCTCTTCATCTTGCTGCATTGCTGCTGGTCCTGTCGCAGCACAGAAATGTTGTATAAATTCAGGCAAAGTTGCTCACCTCAAGGTGGGCAGGATGGAGAGGAGATGGCAAGTCCCTGGGGGGCATGAGAAGCAGAGATTTGCCCTTCAGAAGTTGCCACCACACAATGACTGACATCTTTCTAGAAGGCTTCATTTTGATTGGTGGGAACTCAGCAATGGGTAAATTCCTTGATGGAGTTATTGTTCCCATGATCCAGTCGCCTCTTAACTCTGTGTGTGGGTACTGAATATCAAAAGTGTATTTGTGTGTGTTGTGGCTCACAAAGAAGCCATTAGCTCTTTGGTGTCTTCTCACTTTCTTATTGTTGAGATCACCATGGTACCTGTGCAATGAGAGACCTGACATTTCAGAACTAAATATATATTTTAGCAGAATTCATTATTTTTTGCATTGCAAGAACATAATATTCATTCCCTTCATTAGCAAAAGTATGTAGGATTCAGTCAAATTCCTATACACTGCTCTCTATGAGATTTTCAGAAGAAATATTGAGAGCTGTTTATTAATCTGCTTGAATAAACAAACAAATCTTACAAGAAAATGTACTTCTTGTTATTCAGAACATAGGAGATTGAAATGTAAAATGTTGATATAGATTTACTTAAAATGTAATGACCATTTATTAAGCATAGAAATTGATAAACATAAAAAGTTGGCATAGAGTATAGAAATGTATGTGAAGTGTATGGATTAATCTCGGCTGCTCTGTTCTTTACTCTAAGGACCAAATGTCTCTGTGATTAGACTAAAGGGATTGAGAAGCCTGGAGGCTGCTGTGCTCAGTAGGAAGTGTCAGTCAAGAAAACCCCACCTTTGCTTTAACTCTCTGACCCTGGCTTCAGGTAAGGGAAAGGGAGAGAGTAGCAGTTTCCCACACAGGGTTATTTGGGGAGTAATAAGGAATGTCAGAGAACTCTCCAGGAGTCCAATAGGAGAAGGCCTGGGAGGCCTTAAAGTGATTGTGAAAGGAAGTCCTTGACTACACAGATCAGCCACAGGGAAATGATGCTGAGAACTGAAGACAGATCCTGAGGGTGGAAGAATCCAAGGGAAATCGTGGCTGGATTGCAGGCTGACCACTAGGACGGCATCAGATTCACATCTCAAGCTCAAGGTCTCCACTAAGAACCAAACAAAGGAAGGACACCCATGAGGAGCCCGGCCACTGTCAGATGCCACCTTCTTTTAAGACCTTTGAGTGAGCTTAGAACTCACCTCTCCCTTACAATAAACCCTGATACTGTGTGTTAGCGCTTGGATTCTAGTTGTGTTTTCACCAGCATGGGGACACGGGAGCCATGCACATTTGAAACCCATGTGTTAATCAGTAGTTGCCATCCTAAGGGAGGAGAATGAAAGGAATCATGACTATGAGTCTCATGAGCTGAGCTTCTTTCCTTCCCTGCATCCAGTTCTGTAATCTAGACCCTGTGAGCTCACTCTGTATACTGGACACATTCATTGAGCACCTACTGTGTGTAACAGTTCTCACCCATTCAGGTATATCTCAATACTTCTCCAAACATTAGCTAGTTAAACCGTGTGTGTGTGTGTGTGTGTGTGTGTGTAATGGTAAAAGTAAAATATGAGGATTTCTGAGTTGCTGCAGCAGGCAGCAAGCCACGAGACCATTCCTCAAGTCCCCAAAGTGGCATCAGGCAGTAGGCAGCAAGTCTGAAAGCAACCAGTCCCAGGTAAAGATGAAGCAGTTCCCCAAGTGGCAGCAGTGGGCCACGAGTCTCAGACAGGGAGCTGAGAGAAACCTCAAAGGTGCAGTCAGTCCTAGGAGGAGAGACAGATGGGCCTGCCATGAGACCAAGCTGCAGGTCTCTGCATGTAGCTGATACCAGATAGGGAGCCAGGTGGCAGGCCAGAGACAGAGATATGGATAGGCATGTTATGCAGAGTGAGGTTGGATATTTATTTAGTGGGTTATGGAAGGAAAGGGGATAGGGAGTAAAGGGAGAAGGGGAAAGAGCAGAGAACGAAAGAGAGGGAGAGAGAGAGAAAAAGAAAGAGAGAGAGGAACAGAGAGGGAAGGGGAGAAGTGGGGAAAAGAGAGACAGAAGTTGCCTCTTCAGGGGAGGCATAGAAAAGAGAAGGGACTCACTGGAAGCTGAAGATCAACTTGCCTAGCCATGGCGAAGGGAGTGGACATGGTTTGTCTTTTAAAGGGACAGAGCAGTCCATTACGGTGTATGCATTCATCCTTTTCTGCTATTAATCTTTTTTTAGAAATTTATTCATTTTTGGTTTATGTGTTTTCCTGCATGTGGGTATGTGTACCAAGTGAATGCCTGTGTCGATGGAAGCTAGAAGATGGTATAGATTTCTTGGTACTGGAGTTACAGACACTGTGAGCTGCCATGTGGGTGCTGGGAACTGAACTCAGGTCCTTGCAAGAGCATTCAGTGATTTAACCACTGAGCCATCTAACCATCCCAAACCATGTTTATAAAAGAAAACTGAAACTAAAAAAAGAAAAAAAAAGCTCATTATATGACGTGTTAGTAGTGGAATGAGGAGGTCACGTGACATGTTAGCAGTGGAATGAGGAAGTCACATGACATGTTAGTAGTGGAATGAAGAGGCCTCCATCCCTTCAACCCACCTCTCCTTTATGTATCATGATGAACATTGTTGCTGGAAGGATTCTTTGCCAGTGAAAAAACAGCAGGTTTTAGAATCAACTCTGCTATCAATGTTTATAACATTATGTCTGTGTTTACTATACTTGGCAACTCTGCATTCTCCTGTGTCTTTTAAATTCCACAGGAAAGCAATGACAAGACATTTATGAGAAAATATTAAACACTAAGAGTGGCTGTTCTCTTCCTCCTCAGATTCAACATCATCGGTGATGCTGATAGAAACAGCTGTGTCACTGTCTCAAAGGGCAATGTGGTTTCTGAGAACTGTGATTCAGACAACAAGTGGATCTGCCAGAAGGAACCAAAATGTCTCTGAAACCAGGTGCAATAACTCCTGATACTGAATTTCACCTCATTTCCTTTATCATACAGATCTTTGCACTCACTCTGTCTAGGCTGTTGGCCCAAACAGTGCACAGTTGGTGACACAAAGCATGGACTCTAAAACCACTGTGACTCCTACAGATGCCTGTGTTCTGTGTCTTTGTTCTGAAGAGAGGATAGAGACACTGATGTGCCATTTCAGAGAAGTGCTCTGTGGACAGAAGCCCAGACAGCTGAGGAGCACTGGGGTCTAATCCTGGAGTCTGTGACCCTCACTCTCTGTGTCTGAGGTCATCCTCAAACAGCACAGAAGACCATTTGCAAAATCATTATTAAAATGCTCTTAATATGGGGACTGATGGCACATGCCCCGCATGAATGGCACTGAGAAGGCTGAGCAGGGAGGATCCCGGGTTCAAGGCCAGCCTGGGTGTGGTGGATGAAATGAGGAATGTCTCCCACAGCCTTTGGCATTTTATCACTTGGTCTCCATTTGGTGGCACTCTGTGGGAAGGTTTAGGAGTGCGGCCCTGCTGGAGGAAGTGTCCCTGGAGGTGGCCTTTGAGACTAGAAACCTCACTTGTAGTTTCCTGTGCTGTATGTTTTCAGTTCATGATGTGAGCTCTCAGCTTTCTGCTCCAGCCACCCTGCTTCCTGCCTTCTTCCCATCATTATGGACTCTAATCCTCAGGAACCAAAATGCAAAATAAACTCTTTCTTCTGTAGGACACCTTGGTCATGGTGATTTTCAAAACAGCAGAAAAGTCAGTGGGGGAGAGAATGAGTTAATAAAAACGACAACACTGCTCTTGGAATTAGAGTGAACATATTTGCCTGTGAGGCCGGCAAGCACAGGGAACAGTTTAGTCACATGGCATCTAATTCATTTGAGTCATGCACATACCTCTGTTCTGGTAATGCACTTGACACCCTCGGTTCCTCTCCTGTACAGGCTATGTCCACACACACCACTCTCTAAACAATGCACCTAGCAATCTGCTAGCACCCAAGACCACCACACCCATAGAACTGCACTGCAAGCCCACTTTAACCAATGGAAAAAGTTATTCATCCCTTAAGGGCCATAAAATATTGACGGTTTTTAATTAAACATATTATTAATGTATCTGGGGAAAATGGGTCAGTCTGGTCTAGACTGACTTGGGGTGCACACTCAATAAGGCAAACTGTGTTCAGAAGAAGTGAATCAGTAGAGAGAATCTCCTATTTTCCATGGTAATCCTAGCACAGCTGAACATGGTATTATTAACAACAGACGTGTGTAGTTGCTGTTTTCTTTGACCAAGGAGACATTACTAATTGTGAATTCTCTGTCTTAGCTTGGGCATGTTCCACTGGCTCCTTTAACTTAATTTAACCTGTTTATCTTATGTCTTGCCTTGGGGATTTTTACCTTTGTTTCTTTCTTTCTTTCTTTCTTTCTTTCTTATTTTCTTCCTTTCTTTCTGTATGTCCTACATTCCTGAATCCTCTGCATCTGGCTGGCTGGCCCCTGGCATCTCCCTGGCATCTCTTTTCTCCCTCACCCCTAAATTCTTTTTGCTACTTAGTCTTCCTACTAAGAAGTTTATCCTATACCTCCTCCCTTGCTATTGGCCATTCAGCTTTTATTTGACCAATCAGGTATCTCAGGCAGGTGAGGTAAAATAACAACACATCTTAACATAATTAAACAAATATTCTGATACAAACGTGTTATGGGAAGGGTTGGTTGCCAAAATAAAGAACCACCCACATTAAGCTCCTAGTAACCAAACTCCTCCTTCTCTTGTACCCCCTAAAAGGAAGCTCCAAGCAACAGTCAGTGCCCTAGAGTACTCACTCCTGCTGCTGGAAGTCCTCTTTACTGTGTATTCTAATCCGTACTACAGCCTTGCTTTAGATAAAGTTCCCCAGCCACTTTAATACTCCTTGAAACAGGAACCAAAAACCTGCAAACACTCCACTGTGGCCTGGCTATTGGCAACATATTTTATTTACGTATATGGTTGTTGATAATGGGCGTTACCCTGTTCCTAAACTGGGCAGCAACAGTGACTTTCCCAAGAGAACTATTTTTCAAATAATAAGGCAGAGTGTGGAATGATTTGTCAACATTTGTGGGTAATCCAATGATAGAGCTGAACCCCAAGTTTGACTCTACTGCTGTGTACGACCCCAACACTACTTCAAGGCCCCTTCTCATATGCCTGGGAAAATGAAACCAGAGCATGCTGTGCATGTGTGCTTTGCCCTTCATCCTAAATTCTCAGCAAATGACACTGGAAAGTGGGTAACCTGTAACCACTGTCTTCATTGGGGTTTCTGTTATTTCAGTGGAACACAGTAATGAACAAGCTAGTTGAGGAAAGGGTTTATTTGACTCCCACTCCTATATCACTAGTCATTACCAGAAGTCAGGACAGGAACTCAAATAGAGCAGACACATTGAGGTAGGAACTGACGCAGAGGCCATGGAGGGGTTCTGCTTACTGGATTGCTTCCCATGGCTTGCTCAGCCTGTTTTCTTATAGAATCCAGTACCACCAGCCCAGGGATAGATAGCACCACTCACAAGGGCTGGGCCCTCCTGCTAAATAACTACTTAACAAAATGTCCTACAGCTCTACAGCCTGACCTTATGAAAGTTGGTTGGCTTTTTGTTTTGTTTTGCTTTGCTTTGTTTTTGTTGTTGTAGTTATTGTTGTTTAGACAGGGTTTTTCTGTAGCTTTGCAGCCTGTCCTGGAATTCACTCTGCACACCAGGCTGGCCTCAAACTCACAGAGATCCACCTGTCTCTGCCTCCTGCCTGCTAAAATTAAAGGTGTGCACCATCACTGCCCTGCCCTGAAGCAATTTCTTTTTTTTTTATTGAGAAAAGGAGAGAGAAAAAAAAAAACAAGTTTCCACCTCCTCCCAGCCTCCCATTTCCCTCCCCCTCCTCCCACCCTTCTCCCCCTCCTCCCATCCTTCTCCCCCTCCTCCCACCCTTCTCCCCCTCCCCCCACTCCTTTCCCCCTCCCTCTCCAGTCCAAAGAGCAGTCAGGGTTTTCTGCCCTGTGGTAAGTCCTAGGTCCTCCCCACTCCGTCCATATCTAGGAAGGTGAACATCCAAACTGGCTAGGCTCCCACAAAGCCAGCACATTAAGCAGGATCAAAACCCCGTGCCATTGTCCTTTGCGTCTCATCAGCCCTCATTGTTCGCCATGTTCAGAGAGTCCAGTTTTATCCCATGCTTTTTCAGTCACAATCCAGCTGGCCTTGGTGAGCTCCCAATAGATCAGCTCCACTGTCTCAATGGGTGGGTGCACCCCTCGTGGTCCCGACTTCTTTGCTCATGTTCTCCCTCCTTCTGCTCCTCATTGGGACCTTGGTAGCTCAGTCCAGTGCTCCAGTGTGGGTCTCTGTCTCTATCTCCATCCATCACCAGATGAAGGTTCTATGATGATATGCAAGATATTCGTCATTATTGCTCTAGGATAGGGTCATTTCAGGTTCCCTATCCTCAGCTGCCCCAGGAACTAACTGGGGACCTCGGCTTGGGCACCTGGGAGCACCTCTAGGGTCAGGTGTCTTGCCAACCCTAAAGTGGCTCCCTTAACTAAGAATTGTGGTTCCGTGCTCCCCTGTCCAACCTTCCTTTATCCCAATCCTCCTGTTTCCCCAAGGCCCCCCTCCTTCCCTTCTAACTTTTCTCTCCCCATCTCCCCATATCTATCACCGTGCACAAAACTCAAGTCCAAATGGATTAAAGACCTCACTATCAGCCCGAACACACTGAAAATGATAGAAGAGAAAGTGGGAAATACCCTACAACAGATGGGCACAGGAGATCGCTTCCTATGTATAACCCCAGAAGCACAGACATTAAGGGCAACATTGAATAAATGGGACCTACTAAAACTGAGAAGCTTCTGTAATGCAAAGGACACTGTCACTAAGACACAAAGGCAACCTACTGACTGGGAGAAGATCTTCACCAACCCTGCAACAGACAAAGGTCTGATCTCCAAAATATATAGAGAACTCAAGAAACTAGACTTTAAAATGCTAATTAACCCAATTAAAAAATGGGGCACTGAACTGAACAGAGAATTCTCAACAGAAGAAGTTCAAATGGCCAAAAGACAATTAAGGTCGTGCTCAACTTCCTTAGCAATCAGGGAAATGCAAATCAAAACAACTTTGAGATATCATCTTACACCTGTCAGAATGGCTAAAGTCAAAAACACCAAGGATAGCCTTTGCTGGAGAGGCTGTGGAGGAAGGGGTACCCTCATCCATTGCTGGTGGGAATGCAATCTTGTGCAACCACTGTGGAAGTCAGTGTTTCGGTTTCTCAGGAAATTCGGGATCAACCTACCCCTGGACCCAGCAATGCCACTCTTGGGAATATACCCAAGAGATGCCCTATCATATGACAAAAGCATTTGTTCAACTATGTTCATAGCAGTATTATTTGTAATAGCCAGAACCTGGAAACAACCTAGATGCCCTTCAATGGAAGAATGGATGAAGAAAGTATGGAATATATACACATTAGAGTACTACGCTGCGGTAAAAAAACAATGACTTCTCGAATTTTGCATGCAAGTGGATGGAAATAGAAAACACTATCCTGAGTGAGGTATCCCAGACCCGAAAAGATGAACATGGGATGTACCCACTCATAATTGGTTTCTAGCCATAAATAAGGGTCACGGAGTCTACAATAGGTGAATCTAAAGAAGCTAAGTAAGAAGGTGAACCCAAGGAAAAACATATAGTTATCCTTTTGGCTAAGGGAAGTAGACAAAATTGCCGGGGAGAAAATTGGGATCTTGGGGGTGGGGTGGGATGGGGGTAAGGGGAGATGGGGTGAAGCAATTTCTTAATTGGTGTTCTCTTTCCTCAAATGACTTCAGTGTTTGTCAACATGATATAAAACTACCCAATACAACAGTTAAACATTTCTGAGCAAAGTTTTTCAACCAGCAACCAATAAAATCCAA